GGGGCTGCGCGGACAGCGGGGCGCGCACCTGCGCCCGGCCGCGCACCTGCGCCCGGCGCGGCGGGGCCGCAACATGGCGGGGCCGCCAGGGTGAGGAGGCGCTTTGTGGAGAAGTGCTTTTTGATTTATTTATTTGGGTTTTTTTCCCCCTCTTTTTTTTTTTTCCGTCTTTCTCTCATGGCCTGGGGCCTCGCCCCTGTGGGATCTGGCTGAGCGACCTTTGTGCTGGAGGAACCGGGTCTGGCGCGGCCTCCTTCCCCTCAGGGGCTCCCGCCAGCAGCCGCAGTGCCCAGGCGGGTCCTGCGAGMGTAGTGCTAAGTGTGAGGTGATTTGTCTGTGGGTTACCTGAGATAGGTATGGACCTTGCCCTAGGTTTGAGCTCTTCGCTCTGGATACAGCTAGGAAGCGTGTCTGGCACATAGCGAAGCTGGAGCACGAGTTTCTGTTTCAACTGCACCTCATTATTAATGTACTGGGTGACATGAACCAGCCTGGCCCTTTTAACTAACTCTATGTATCACTATAATTCCAATATAAAACAATTAATTCTAAGCCTCTACTTCCTTACCCCGCTGAAGATAGAGACAAATCTCCTTAGCAGGGAGACCTCAGTCTGAAGAAGGCCTTCCTGCTAGCACAACTCACCAAGTGTTGATAGGGAGGAAGCTCACGGATCAACTGTGTCACGTTAATGTGTTTTTAAAATACAGATCGCTTCCTGGTAGAAAAGAACTTGATTTGAGGCACCGTCATGTAGGCTTTGCATAAAGGGCTGTGAAGGGAGCTCCAACAAACAGCTCCTTGCAGTTCAGGTAGGTTATGAGTGTCTCGTCAGCTCACATGTCTCAGTCGCTAATCAGTTTTTAAAAACACATCCAGCGCTGAATCACTTTTAAGTCARCGCCGTTTCATACAGTCAATCTTAGTCCCGTCATGCCACAGGCAAAGAAATTGCACCTATCACTCAAGCCAAAACAAGCACTAATTAGTACAGAGGATGTTGTTAATTGTTAAGTATAGTTTGCTGTCAGTCAATGTCTGGGCAAGTTCAAATCTTTACATCGTTTATCCAGTGTGTTTTGTGTTTACAAGAGGAAAAAGAATGTTGCATAGAGAGATTAGTCTCTAAATTTAGATAAAATCCATGATGCTAATGTAAATGTAAAATAGCAAGTTGCAGTTATGTGAGCCAGATGTAGGTAAAACCTCTTATTATGCCACTTTGTAGTTAGGAAAACTGAAAAGATATTTGACTACTTTCSATTTCTAACTTCTACAACCTACTTTGCTTAATGAACTGTAGGAAAGCACAGAGAAGGAGTGCACGACACAAGCCAGCAGTGCCTTCCCTGGGTTTTCTAAAGCAACTGGTTTGTCTTTTTGTTTTGAAAAAAATCTGAAGATGTGTTCGTGGCAGTGTTCAAGAAACGTGTAGATGAGGCACTTGGGGACCTGGTTGAGCAGGCACGGTGTTGAAGGGTTTGCTCTTGGACCCGATAATCTTGAAGGTCTTTTCCAACCGTAACGATTCTAGATTCTATGTATAGTACTTGAAGCCAACGTTCAGTTGGTTGGTTTTACTGCTATAGATTTATGGGGGATAGGCTAAGATAATTTTTTTTCTACCTTGCATTCCGAGAATTGTTTGAGTGCCATGCTGTGGGTGTGGTAACATGCTTAAAGAGTGAGGGCAAATTCATTTCAAGTCACTGGAACCAACGTAATAAAAAGTATTAATCATAGGCTTGCTTTCATCACAAGGAGCTGATGTATGAGGAAGGAATGTGATAAACAACTTGATTTAAGATAAAGGTAGGAGAAAGGCAGTTTTTTTTGTGCCAGGATTAACACAAGTTTGTAGAGCTATTTTAATCACAAGCTCTCTGTGATTCAGACCTGATCAAGCTATTCATGGCATGTTCAGTTTCACCTTCTGTGAAGTTGAAAGAGAGGTTGGGTTTCCTAATCTAGGATAGTTGGGAGTTTTTTGGGAGCACTTTTTTTTTTTTTTTTTTTTTTTTTTTTTGTTTTGGTGTGGAAATTGGATCACTAAAACTACTGTGCAGTATAGTGAGATTCTGCTCTGCTTCTCCTTTTCTGACTAGGATTTTGTTTGTTTATTTATTTATTTATTTATTGAAGCAGTTACCTGAATAGGCTTGAGAAATAGTTGTATATCTGAAAAAAAATCAAAGAATACAACCATATAAACATCTTGATTTAAATACCTACCACAAACATGTAGTAGCATGTGAGTCCAAATGAACATGTACTTCAAATTATATTTTTTTTCAACAAAAATATAGTTTTGCTTTCAGTTTGGGGGTTTAGGAGCATTATTTATTTATTTTGTCTTTCCTTACGTAAACAGCTTTTTTTTTTCATGTGATCAAATAAACGTTTGTTTGTGGTGTGCTACAGTTTTTCAAAAAAACTTGAACCTATTTACACAAATATGACCGGCTAATTAAAATTGCTWAGGAATCTGCTCAAAATCAGGAAGATTTGTGCAGGTGGAAATGAGTGATTATTGGCGATGTGCTGTGAGACCTGGGGACACCGAAGCTGTCATACTTCTTGCAGCAGTTGTGACTGTCACATACATAGAAGAGCTGTGAAAACCAGCCCCGTTTAGGACTCTTAGATTAGAATTCTAAGTCGTATTTCTCCTCTTCGTTCTGAATTGAATTTCTGACTTTCAGCTAACTCTAACATCAGGGCTTTAATAAGGAATGTGTTGTAAGTGTTTCTGAAAGCTGCTTGTCCTGGGAATGGATGCTCTGTAGTTTACTTCTATGGGTAGGCTCTGTTTCTGTGGTGATAAATTCTGAAGGTTTTTGAGTCTACTTTCTTCTAAAGTCAAAAGTTCACACTGATAAATCATTATGTACTGAGTTTTCTAAATAAATATACAGCTTTTTAAAGTCTTTTTCTTCTCGTTCATCTAGTAGTCCTCCATTTCCATTCAGTGATTCTAGATTAATTTGAAACTACGTCATTAATTAAACAGTGCAGTACTAATCACTGCTGACGTCTCATGCTATGCACACGTGTGTAGTTTAATGACTTCTTACRGCGAAGGTGTTCTAAAGAAAACATCACCTGTATTTTCTTTATAGGTCTATCTATAGATATGTAAGAGGGTCTGTAGATAACACTTCAATGTTCCTTTACTCAAAATGATCAATGAACACTAGTTTCTCATGTTTCCATTGCTCAGGGAGTTTTCCAGATTTAGACTTTCGAAAAAAATGCAATAGATGAAAAAGAGTAATTGATGAAAATCTTGTTTTAACTTTCACACTGGCATACTTTAGAATTATCCTTTTGGGGAATACAGACTTTCAGGCTTGCTGGAAAGTACCTTGCATGTGCTACTGTTTGTAGGTAGAAGCAACATCCTATATTTTTGTATGGAATGGTGCTGATACATATATATTATATATATATTTTGTGTCCATACAGTGTGTTTATAAAGGAAATGATTTGTCATTGTCTGTTGTTAAAAGTTATTTCCTGTCAAGCAAGGATAACATTTAAGCGTTAAACTAGTTGCTACAGATCCTAACTGTTTAATCTTTTATAAGTATGCAGCTGCTGTTATGCAATACCTTGCTTCACAGCAAGGTTGGCCTGAGTTGCCTTGTGTCCGCTGCTTCTCCAGGAGGTGGTGTTTAAGCAGTGCATAGCTTGTCACTGCCTAGTTCTGACATCCCTTAGTAGCGAGTTTGTGTGTCACTGTTGCAAGCCCACACTGCCACAGATACTCCGTTAGAAATCCTGCACTTAACTGCCTCTTCTTGAGGTAGTTGTTTGTGAATGTCTGGTTTCTTTCAGAATTACTAGAAACAAATGAGAATCTATAAAGTTGGCCCTTCTGCAGAGTCAAACTAGAAGTGCTTTGATATAAATGCTTGAAGGAAGAAAGTAAAGGCAGAACTTGCCGTGTTTCTGTTATCCTTCCAGCTGTAAGGACATTAATCATTTTGCAAATGCTACCTGCGTCCGACTACAGAAATATGGCTGCTATTTGTCAACTAATTCATTAATGTTTATGATCAGGTTATTGTTGAATAATATGTAACTCGTCTATGATTGCATGACCAGGGCTCAGAAAGATACTGGCATGTACAGTGCTCGATTGCACTGCATGCCACGTGCTGAGAGCTGCTGGGCTAGTTGAGAACACAAGGATATAAGGATTGACCATCTAGGTCAACTTTGTGAGGTTTTCAACCTGTTATYTAGGTTGTCCATTTTAGCTTCTGATAATGGATTACATGGAAATATTCAGAGAATATTGAAAATAGCCCAGCAGAGGGCACTGTGGATCTTRTTGGTGCCTTTAGAATTTAAAAATCGTTTACTGGGGTAAACTCACTTGTGTGGCACTCTCAGCATGAAACATAAGTATATTTAGACTATTTGTGTAATTATGGTTGTGGTTAAATGCCAGGCTTTCTTATKAGTTATAATATTGGCCATGTGACTAAAAAATATTTGTTCACAGTACGTTAATTGTTCTCATAGCATTACATGTAATTTATATATAAAATTAATCTCATTGTGGTTTAATATTTCATTGATTTATCATAGAAACAATAAGATGGAGTGAATTATAAAATGTTTATTGTATTTTTTTTCCTGAAGGTATTTTATGTCTGCACACAAAGCTAAACCTACTGTGAAACTATAGGATTCA